CAGAGGCTCGGCCTGGCTCCTGCCCAGGAGTCCTCTAGAAAGCCCGAGCCAGGCAGCATGGCGGTGACACTGCCAGGAGCAGGGTGACAGCAGGGTTGTGCCGTGCAGCGTTACAGCCACAGGGATCTGGTGTTTCACACAGAGACAAGGCACCTCTTACCCGTTCTTCTTTGGCAGATAGGCCTCCATCTCAAAGAAAACGTTCTGCCTCTCCTTTATGAGGCTCTGGGTCTCCTGGATGGACTCCTCCTGGTCAGGACTCACCTGGGCTTTGCATCTGGGGAGGAAAGACAGCGCTGGCATCAGGATAGTGCCCGTAACGCAGTCACCGTGTGCTGGCACTCAGGTGACAAGGACACCCCAAGGACAGGGAAGATTGAATGGGGGCAAGTCCATGATTCCATCTGCAGGGTGAGCTCCTCTGTCAGGCTGGGATGCGGCTCGGGAAAAGGGAGGAGGAATGAGGGCGAGGGGAGGCCGGGTGGGTCTTCTCCTCAAGGAAGGATGGAGAGAGCAGTTGCAGCCCTTGCAAGCTCTGAACTGCAGACAGGTTCAGAGGGCAGAGGAGAGGGAAGCTGAGGAAGATCCACCTGGGTGAGTCCAGACCTCGGCAGCACTTCGCTGTCAGCAAGGCTGTGGTCACGTTTGTCTTGAGTCACGTTTGTATTGGAGATGGAGCCCTGAGGTGAGTTCAGTAGCCTCGTCCTTGCGGCTCTCCCCTCCCGCCCCCGTGTCATCACAGGGCACCAACTTACTTTTTGAGGGACAATGACAGCTCTTTCAGCCGCTTCTTCTGCCGTGCAATGGAACTGGAGATCCCATCCTGAAGCTTGGTTAGCTCCTCGAGTTTCTGCTTGTACAGCTTGTGATTATCCTGGGAAGGAGAGACTGGCATGAATTACAGCTGCCTGCCCAGCCACCCCTGTCCTTGGGCTCTCTGCGGGGGCACCTGGTGATGCATCTGTTAAACATGGTCTTTAACTTCACCTGTGCAGCAGCTGGGTAAGACAAGAGGTGGCTGGAAACCAGGGGCAGAAGGCCAGGCATTTTTGGGGACAGCCTGCAGCCATCCCTGCTTCCATGAGGGCAGAAGCAGCCGCTGGGGATGTCCATCCCTAATCCCAAGGAAGTTATCTAGAGGTGCAGGCACATCTGCACAGCCTGGTCCTGCTGTCACACATGGCTTGTGTCCAGCCCCCCTCCAGCTGCAGGCTGTGAAAGTTCAGCTGGGAAGGAGGTCTTGCTCCAGGGATGCTCCTGGGGTTGGGAAACCATTGACTGTGGCACAAGGGACAGGAAAGACTTGGAAGGAAAAAATGCTGCTGGGGCCAGGGTTACAGCTGAGGGCCACAGCCAACAGGGAGAGGTGGCTTTGACTGCTGGTGCCCGTCAATGAGCTGGACAAAGGGGACAGACAGACTTGCAGTGGGACAACGGCCAACTGCCGGGCTCCTTGTGCAGTGGTAACCCAACCGCACCTGCGTAAGGCTAGATGCCATTCTTCTGCTATATTTAGAAAGGAAAGGAGAGAGGGTGCTGGATCAGTGCTCCTTCTTGTCCAGGTCAGCTGGAAAACAGCCTCACCTTGGCCACGGGCAGCCTGAAGAGTCACTGGAGAGTGACTTTTTACAAGGGCAGGGGGTGACAGAACAAGGGGTGATGGCTTGAAACTGGAAGAGGGGAGGTGGAGATGAGATCTGAGGAAGAAATTCTTCACTCTGAGGGTGGTGAAACAGTGTCCCAGGTTGGCCAGAGAAGCTGTGGCTGCTCCTCCCTGGAAGTGTTGAAGGCCAGGCTGGATGAGGCTTTGAGCAGACTGGTCTAGTGGAAGGTGTCCCTGCTGATGGCAGGGGGGTTGGAACTGGATGAGCTTTAAGGTCCCTTCCAACCCCAACTGTTCTATGAACGCCACCTCCACCTGGGAATTAAATGCTCCTCACAACAACCCTTGGACTAGACCTTGACACACACACATTTTAGCCTCTGTAGCTCTTATCAAGCACTTTATCAGCAGATCTTCCCAAAGGAGAAAGGTGAAACTGAGATGCAGAGAAGGGAAACAACTCTGTCTCCCTCCGGTGACACGCAGGGGCCGGGTGGGAACAGATCCCAGACAGCTCCAGCTCCCCCAGCAGTGATTTATATCCCTGATCTCTCACGGGACATTCCCTCCTTGACCATCAAGCTTTCCTGCTCCCATGTGGAGTCACCTCTTTCTCTTGCTCTGGAGTTAACTGAGAGCAAGTGACATTAGGGACAGCTCCTTTAATGGTGCTGGGATGCTTTAGCACCACACTGGGACACAGCTGGGATCAGGAGCCACCCCAGGAGAAGGATTCCAAAGGAAAGGGACAGCAGCACGCAGGGTTCAAAGCAGACCGGGGACATCCACACCACCCCTATGGAGCAAGAGGAGGTTTCTCAAAGCCTCCCTTGCCCCAGATCTGGGCACCGCTGTGATGTGTCTGCACCAACATCCGCTTCGCCCGGCTCCCGGGGGGGAAGGAGGGGGAAAGGGAACTGGTGCAGATGCCGCTGATTGATCTGAAGTGCAGCAGAAGATGGTTGGCCAAGTTTTTCCTTGGGTGACCCCTGTCTGAGCCCAACCCTGCCTGCTCCTTTCCCCTGGCAGCGAGTGTCCTGGGGATTAGACAAAGCAAGTGGAGATGCCACCAACACCGGTCACCTTCCTGGCACAGAGCCCCAGTGGGTGCCCGGGGTGGAGGGAGGGTGGCCAGCGGGACAAGGTGTCTGGCTGGAGTGTCACCAGACTCGTGGCCACCCCGCTCGGCTGGCCGGCTCCCCTTTGAGGCTGGCTTCGGGCTGAGAGGAGCGATATGGAGTGTGACACCATCTGCTCGGCTCCCCCGGGCCGTGCCGGGCAGCGCTGTTCCCGCTCCCGGCCTTTGGAATCCCGCAGGTCCCACCGCTCCAGGCCCGGTCCCTGCGGGCTGGGCGATGAGACTGGGAAGCCCCGGCTCTG